GAGATCCGTCACCGGTAAGATACGAAGACTCGAGGTTTGGTAATCAGATTCGTCAAAAGGATAAGCTGAAACAAAAATTCAAAGGTTAGGTTTTGTTCACAATTGTCTAAAGAAACAGACAAATAAGAACAAATGAAACCTGAGAGTTGGTAGCGGAAGCAGTGGAAGCTGAAGCGGGGAAAGACAAGCGACGGAGAAGTCCGAACCTTGTCGGATTTCACGAAATAGGACGGAGAAGCAAGAGAGGCGATCTGAAGGAGCGGAAATCGGAGAGAGCATGCAACTCCGATGGTGGTGGTGTCGAGGAACCGACAACGATGCTCGGGAAGATGAAGTGGTGAAGTCTATCGCGACTTCTGGAACTTTTCGCAAGAAAGGAGAAGAAAGAGGCGGAGAAATCAATAAGTGACCAAGAGTCAAGGTGGAGAAATGTGAGGCTTGTGTCTCTTGGGCCACCTAATGGGCTCCTTTGTTGATTTCGGGTTTGGACCTGGAAAACCAAGACATAAAGTGATTAGTCTAAAAGGAATACAATTCCTTATAGTTTTAGGACATATGATTTCCTTTTACAACAAGGATTAGTATGTTTAGGTCTAGTATAAATATAGGTCTCTACTTCATGTTATTCACTACGAAAAAACACTAATCTCTCTGCTTGTAATCAGTTGATTCTATTATTAGTGAAATAGAGTTTGTCTCCGGTTAAGGAGAAGAACTCACCAAAACATATCCTGTGTTATTATCTTTGATTCGAATCATCACAAGCCAAGTTTGATTCTCTACAGAAATAGTTATTGGAAATCTTATCCCAATTCTTTGGAATATATACTGTCTAGGGCATAGTGTCTGTAAGTACCAGCAAATGTGTCTACGACACCGATAGGGAAATTGAGTGTTTTCCATGTTTTTTACCAAACTTTTGTTTGTCTATGTACGTAACTTTTTAAAAATTGATAGTTGTTATATATGTTCATTTAGTTCAAAGAAAGAAACCAAGATAGGCGTCTTCAAAGGTGTGAGCGGTAACGTAGGGCTTGGATATTAAGTTATTGAACAGTCATTTTTTAATCACTTATATTTCAAGGAGGCTATCATGTGTAGTGTTTCTTTTCTTAATAAACATTATGACGAGTTCATATATGTGCATTGGTCTTCTTGCAGAATTGCGTTGTTGCTCGGTGATCCCGGCTGTGGCAAAACCACTCTATGGAGGCACTTTTTGGAAGGTTTTCTTCTTCTGTAAAAGTCTTTCTGGAAAGCCTGATCCATCTGGGTTTGATTAAATAATTAAATATCCTCAAATAGTGTATCAGATGCACAAGTTTGAGGAGAAGTTACACTGTCGCTTGCAGAGTTTATTCGAGAGATCATAACGAGTGTGATAGAGGCGCTTCTCGGGATGTTGCTAGGGCATTTGGAAGTCGTATGGGTGAAAACATTTTTTTTTGTATTTTTTAATGTATTGGACTCAGTTTAATATTTAACATTAATTATGAAAGAGATCAGTAAAAGAGACATTCTGGTAAATTGTTCTAAGCCATGTTTACATGTAGCTAATAGAAGATTCAACTTTTTAAAACACTTTCTGAAACGTAAGAACCCAATTTGTCTTATGCCGTGATATGAACTTATGCTGAAGATTTGAAAAGTGAAGATTCCTGTATGAGGAGGCGAGTGAAAATTGTAACTCAAAAACTTAAGAAAAACCTACAATATCTTAGATTTGAAAAGCATAATAATTAAGTAATAACTTAGAACCAGAAAATAAGGAGATGAAAAGGATATAACTAGGAAAAGAAAGGTCACTAAACGTGTATATATATCATTAAAAGAACTTATTACAAAAAGAACAAAAGAGAAGAAAGAAAAATATGTGATCTAATACCGGTTGATTCTCACTTCGTTTTGTTGATCGTAGGTGGATCTCTTGAGTTTAGGACCTGGTATTTCCATGGATGGCCAGACCCACGAGCACGCTCTCTCCGACATGTAATTAATTGTGAAATCAATGGGGGAATGTAAATCAAAAGGGCAAAAATATGAGAATCAAGAAAACATGATGTAAGTCTAAAAAGAGAAAAGGAAAGAGCATTAATGGTTTTCACTCCGCAAGTAAGTGGACCATTGTTTAAGATTGGTCGGATCATATACTATCTGTAAGTTTTAGTGAAGAAGGAGACGAACAATTGAACATTTTTCCACAAACAAGTCAACAATGTTTGTTTTCATACATGAACAACCAAATGGTACAAAGTCAACAATTTTGTTCATGATTTATTACTAGAGTTACAAGAATTGTGTTTGTGCGATACTTATCCCACAAATTGATAATTTATAACCAGGAAAGGTTTCATAAGGAATTTTTGATGGTGAAGTAGGAAGCTATACAGGAGACTACCTCCATAGTGACATAAGAGACGTGATCTTCCACAATTATCTACAACATGTAACTACTCATATAACGTCAAATCATATCAACTGACAATCTCTTCACATGACTATATATTACCTAAGGGAAACAGTGAATTAATGAGCAAAAGTATGGGAAAAGAAAACAAATAACGTAACAATAATGATTTAGTTGTTATTCAAAAAAAAAAATCGAGTTATTATTTATTTTTATTTTGTTTTGCCCTAATCATTTGAAATTTTCAAGAATGATACAAAAAACTCAAAATTCTCAAACAAATATAAAAAGGCAAAAAACGCGGGGTCAGATCCCTAGTAGGCCTTAATGCTTCTCTATTTAGTTCGTTTTTTAGACTATAATTGAATAGACATTTAATATTTATCTGGTTAAATTGTATTTGGGGGTACTTTCATGATATCGGCTAAACTTAAATAAACAAATAAACTCATTTATTACAATTACAAAACATGTTTAACCCTAGTTAGTCATCCCATCCCGGACCGTTGCGGATTTGTTTTCGGGCTGTCGAACCTGTCCCGCGGGATGTGATCCTGAAAATAGCTGCCCAATCCCGTACCGTACTCCTTGTAGGTCTTTGCGGGCCATCCGCGGGATACCGAATATTACATTGTCTACTTCTTCCTGCACGAACAAACACCAAACAAGAATGAGTTTATGCACAAACAAACGTCAAACAAGAATGACTTGATCATAGCAAAGTCTCTTTCATTCACGAAGGTTGTGTGTCGCACTATTTTTATGTATTCACGAAGAGCTATAGAGATTAATCTTTCAGCTGATATGCATCATTGTTATATGATTAAATAGCTTAGTTAACTACATATAGCTTAGTCTTGTTGCTGACTTGATAATTGCAAAATCTCTTTCATGTTATTGTAACCAAAACACCAATGTAATAAAGCAAAGCACAATAAATCCCACATTGTAATAAAGCAATTTATAGTGCTGAAATGAAAACAAAACCAAATCAACTTAAACAAGAAATCTCACATTTTAATAAAGCAAATCAACATAAAGCAAAACACCAACTTGATCATCTTCATCTTCCCCATTGACGATGGACTCAAATAATGGTAATATCTCCTCTTCACCATCGATATCACCATCGTTTTTATCATCTGCAAATATCAGAAACTTCATTTATTTGGGATAAAGGATAATGTTCCATTGTCAAATCACAAAACCATGTAATGAAAATGCGAAGAAGACAAAAAGCACAACTCTAAAAGTTTCTAACATTTTGTATAAAAAAAAAGGGTTTTTACTTTCTTTGATATTTCCAGACATTCTCTACAGTCGGTTCGGTAGACAAAGCATCAGTGCAGGCATTGTTAATCAGCTGAGAATTCACCTGTATGAAGCAAGACGACATTAGCCAAACACAATGTATTACAAACTATTAGCTACAAAAAAAAATAACTACCTGAATTCAAAACACCGAGTTCTCCTATCAATGCTTAGTAGGTCTACATAAGACAGCGACTAACTTGAGGTCCTGCAACTGCTATATCGGAAAGAAAGGCTGGTAAGCTGATGTCTTTGTTCACCATCACCTCAACACGAAAGACAAACAAAGATAACACGAGAAGAAGCAGAGACGGAACACAAGTTATTTTAGTTCAAAAAGGCAACTTCAGGGCATTGTTAAAAGACTTGCCTCTTTGAAGTAGGAAAGGAACCATGTTCATCCTGTTTTAATCAACGCATCACCATTACTCTTACTCGTTCAAGAATAAAAAGAAAAAAGAAAAAAAAAACGAGAATATGAAGAGAGAGAGATGTAGACACAAACCTTCAAGACTATATAGGAATCCTCGGACATGAATTAACTAGCCATGGGACTCCTTTGGAACAACGATAGGTTTGAAGTTGTAAAACTCAACTTTTTTTTAGTCCCTCAAGAGAGCTGCATATGTCAAAGAGACACATCATTTTTACAAGTGTTAGAGCATCATCTACTGTAAGTGTCTATTTTTTTCGGTTGGTTATCATTTTGGTATTGTGTTTTGTGATGCAGTGAGGGAAACTTCCCCAAATTTCTCAGTTATCATCCACATATCACAACGTCTTTAACCGACAAGGGTTTTCTTTGAAAACAAACAACAGCTCGCCGCCTTGATCAAGCTCGCGGTGTTGTTGGTTACGATTCGCCGCCTTGATCAATCATGAGTGTAACTGTGGAAGGGTAGTATATCATAATTTTTCATGATCTACCATTCATTCTTGGGCCGTTCGGCGGATCAGGCTTTTTCGGCTAAGGACTATTATTACTGATGATTGTCAAGCCCATTGGGCTTTTAACCGAAGTAGACGTCTTTTTCAATTTTAATTTTGAAAAAGAATTACCCGGGAAAAGCAGAAAAGTAGAGGAATGTCCCGGCGGCGAATCTAGGGTATTGACTCGGAGATGATTTCTTTTTCAGGTACAAACATATTCATGCTTACGCTAGGGGATTTTTTGGAGCTCCAACACTATTGATCTTTATCTACACCGGAGGTATTGAAATGAATTCATTTGCGTGCTTGTTTTATAATATGATGTTTTTATAGATATTCTGATAAGCGTCTAATGCTTTATGAGTTGGTGGAGACACCAAATGGGATACTTAGCAAAGGCAGAGAGGTTTTGATCACTGGATGCTACCTTCGTACCGCTAGAGAAGGCTGTGGCACTCCACGGTTACTTCCAACCGAATATCTTGTCATTTTGCTTTGCTTGATGAGGTTATTGTTTTTATTTTTCACTATCTTAGAAATGCAGTATTGGATTTTCCTGTTGTTTAGTTCCCATTCTTATTACCTGACTCTCAAATACTGCAGGACGAAGAGGTTGATGCAATCTTTATAATAGCTCAACTCTGTTCCGATACTTTCTCAGCTGTTTCCCTTGATGATTTCAACAATGGAACTTCATACTCTTTGTATGCTAGGTAAGAGATTTATACATGCGTGTGATGTCACTAAATCCTGGTTTTAGTAGAAGTAACTTATTGTTCACACGCCCAGTTGCAAACACTATTACAGTGATTAAACTTTCGGATCAAAAACTTTTGGAAGCAACGGGTTGCAATATCATTCCAAGTCCTGCAGTTTCATTGTATATTTGTAGAAAGATGTGTGAAGTACCTCTTCAGAAATAGATGTTCTGAGAGACTGAGTGGTTACGGTGACTTTCTAAAGTAAAATTGCATTTTCTCCTATTGGTCTGAGAGCAGGATTGAATCTATAGGTCCTCTGGAATCTGAACTCAAGTTTAGTACTGCGCATAGAAGGCAAATTGCACTTGTAGATGGTGACGGCGTTAGGTTAAAATTTATCTTGTGGGTAGACAGACCAAGTCATCGTGGCAAACCTCATGAGGTAAGCTCCTGACTTGGTGCTTCTATCTTAACTTCTTAACCAATCCATTTCTATAAAAAAAAAAAAATCATTTTTCAGTGTGGGAAGTATGCTTGGGCTTGAGAGGCTTTATATTTCTAGTCTGAAGAGAGCGCAATGGAAGGAAAGGATGAGTTCTGCCTTGAATGTGGTAGCGCAACACATCTCTATATAGTGCCATCAACCTTACAAGAGGAAACGGTAGATGCATTTCTTTTTGTTGCTCTTTCTCTTGTGCCAATTTTTTTCATCGGTTTCTGATATCACTAATGTGGAGTGAGTTGTTTGTTCTTCAGGTTTGTGTATCATTGTCCCAGAATCAGTGCCAAGGATCTAAATTACTTGGTTGAGTAGGAGTTTCGCAGGTGACATTGCCTCGTGACGCCGAGGGGTCTATAGTATTATCCTTTTCTGGTGAGTGGAAGCTAACCTCCGATTTGATCAAACATGGTATTACCGATGGTCTATAAATCTAGGGGCTCATCTGCCTTGCAACTTAGCTTCATGGGTCTATGGTAAATGATATTATAAATTTGGGATTAGATGTTTTATAGATTTAGCCTGGTCCGACAATTATTTGAGAATCTATTGCTTTGCTGCATCTGTTAATACATCTCTCATTGGTTGAAGTTATGCAGACGAATATAACGGACTGTCGCGACAAAACCACTGGAATCAGTCTCTATGGCGTTGTAACAGATATATTCTGTGATGTAAATGCCACAGGAGTGGTGTTTTCTATGAAAATTGAGGACACAACTGGAGCAATATGGGCTAGGCTCCACTTTAATACTCACTGGTATTAAATTGTTTCATACTCCGAAACAAAATCCAAAATATCAAGTTGGATGAGTTATTTTTTCGTTTGTTTTTGCAGGTCGTTGGGAAGGTTAGGACTTGGTCATGTCATTTACGTTTCTGGGTTATCCTGCAAAAGTACAAAAGAGAATTGGTAAGCGTCTCTCTTGCTTTAAAGCTGAGAGATATGCTCATCCATCAGTATTGGTTATGTAACTCTTGTTTTGGTTGAGCAGCCTTGAGGTGTTATGGCATGAGAAGGACAAGAAAGCTACATTCATCAACATTAGCTGCTTACCTGCATTTCTAACCTCTTCTTGTCTTCTCAAAATCTCCACCCTCTCCCAAATATCAAAACAGAGAAAACCTGCGATCAATGTCCGTGTCAGTTTCTATATTAAGTTTTCCTTTGTGCATCATCTTGCTCACTGCATGTTTCTTTTGGCAGATTTTTCGGGTTAAGCTGGATGAGATTGACCAATGCCATAGCATAAACCCGAGGTTTTCACACAGCGTTTGCGGCCATTTCATAGATGAAGATTCGCAATTACACGGAGGGAATCTGCATTGTGGCTTCTGCCGAGTAACCTTTAACAGTAACGCAGGGTCAGAGGTAGTGAGAACGTTCCAGATAATGATAACACTTGCAGACGAAGAAACCACCAAACTATACGCGTGGTGTACTGGTCAGTCCGCATCAGCTATACTTCAGATATCTTCTGACGAATTCTGTGAGCTCCCTGAGGTAAACAAAACTATCTCTTTTTGTGTGTGTTTGGTGATTTTAAATTTTATGGCAGTAAAAATGAATGGAGTAAAAATGACTTTTCAGGATGATCAGCTAATGTATCCATCTTCATTGGAGAACGAGGGGTTCCTAGTGACCTCAGCTAACAGCGGTGGCCGGAGTTTGTCTCATGAAATGGAGGCGACTTGCTGGGAAATCACCCGCGCTCTCAAGATTTAAGCTCTACCATAATCGTGGGATCTAGTTATATATTGTTTTAATATTTACTCTTTTTTTTTTCTTTTGAACACTGATTTATAAATAATGAGGTACATCAACTTTACAACTAGTATATATATATATATGTTATGTGGGAATTTGCACCATTTAAAAAAAAAACAGTTTATATAGTAACTAATGAAACTTGTGAGCCTCTGTAATAACATTAGTAAGTAACTACTAGATTAAAAGGGTTTTCGACTTTTCGTTAATATCTTAATTTTATCATGGTTAAAAAAATTTAATAATTAGTTGACTGAAAAAGAAAGAGGTTGTGCGAATTTAAGAACGTGCGTTTGAAGTCTGTTTACTTTGATTTGCTTCCGGACAGTATGGTGGGGCCCAGAATCAAATAATGTAACGAACTTAGTCATTTGATTGTACAAACAGCATTTATGTGCATCTCTTTTTGATGTCGTTTCCATGGCATATAACTGTATCTTTTTAAAAATAATATAATTTTAAAAATTTACATCGAAATAAATTTATCTAATATATATAACGTGTAAATTTTATTAGGGTATATAAATATTCAATATTACGAATCGGTGATTTTTGTTAATATATTGTGGCTGCATTTAACTATCATTGTCATATTTTCTTATAAATAATAGAAGATTCCTAAACTTATATCTATTGACATATTTTACATGACTAAATTGAAAGATATGGGGTATTTTATCCAAACAAAATTGTTAAGCGTATCTTTGTTATTATTGATATAAATTTTTCATAAGATATAATAATGATAAGATTATTAGAGAATTAATGTAACATAACTTTCTAGTAATAGTCTATTTTAAAAGAAAATCACACATGAAGTCAAGTCATGACTTCTGTTTTAATATTTAAGATAATTCATTAAATTGATTAGTTATAAAATATAAAATAATTTAATTTGAGGGTATAATGGGGAATTCAAAATGATTTAGTCTAGTGAAACAATTATACAATGATATTATCATATTATATTAAGACAATGTATATGTTTTTTGGTCAAAAAAAAAGAGACAATCCCTAGTATATTTTGGTTGATTTCAGTAGAAAACCGAGAGTCTGGTTGAACCGAAAAACCGGAACTCATAACAGGTCGTGTCTGAACTGGATACTCAGAATCTGAGCAGGCCTTGGGCTATATGTGTCAACTAGGCCTTTTGGTCGGAATAAATAGATAGATAGATGGAGTTGGGAGATAGGGATCTGTAAAGGTTGAAACAACAATAGCGGCGAAGATGATGATATCGGATCTCCCAAGGGATATGGCAGAGGAGGTGCTCTCTAAGCTTCCGATGACATCTCTGAGAAGAGCTCGATTCACCTGCAAAAGATGGAACAACACTTTATCGAAAGATTGGAGCTTTACAAAAAAGTACAGAGACGAAGCAGCAAAGAGGAAGGAGATTCAGGTGGTGATGATGCTCGAATACAAGGTTTACTTGATGAGCGTCAATCTCCACAATCCATTGCCATCTATAGAGCCTATAGGTAAACTCGTTAGCCTAGACAATGATGGAGTCGACATAATTAAAATCTTTCACTGCGAAGGTTTGTTGTTATGCGTTACCAAAGACAGAACTAGTCTTGTGGTTTGGAACCCTTTTAGTGGACAGACAAGGTGGATCAATCCCAGAGATTCTTACCACAGATGTGACAGGTATGCTCTCGGATACGAGAAGAAGAAGAACAACAACGGCTCGCTCAAAGTCTTGAGATTTGTGGATGACTACGACCACGACTTAGAGCGCCGAGTATGTGAGTTTGAAATCTTTAATTTAAAATCTAGTTCTTGGAAGGTGGTTGTTGATTTCAATCCAGAGTGGATGATACAGTCTTTTTACCGCGGCTTGACTCTCAAAGGCAATACTTACTGGTTTGCCGAAAACAAGGTTGCACCAGGCAAAATAGGAAGAGTTTTTTTACTCTGTTTCAACTTTACAACAGAGAGTTTTGGACCGCGTCTGCGTCTGCCTTTTCGTGGTCGCTATGGAGATACATTGACTCTTTCCAGTGTTAGAGAAGAGCAGCTTGCTGTCTTGTTTCAAGAATGTGCACCTCCATTCACCTTGAAGGTTTGGATTAGTAGCAAGGTTGGTCCCAGTGCAGTGTCGTGGAACAAGGAGGTGTTCTTGTCGGTTGATATGAGACCACTAATCGGTTTTCAGTTTATGTGTGTCGCTGGAAGTTTCTTTGTTGATGAGAAGAACAAGTTCGTTGTGGTTATTGATGTCTATAGAGGTCATCATCCTTCTTTAACTATTCGTAATATGGCTTTCTTTTTTGGCAAAAATGGATACTTCAAAACAGTCGATCTCGGTGATTTTGCAAACACGATTTGCTGGCCTCTTGTGTGTTCTTATGTTCCAAGCTTGGTCAAATTCTAGCAACCTGCGCCACCAGGCAACCTGAGGGAACAGAACACACCATGTATTAAATCTTATCAACTTGTTATTGTCCTCTTTCGTTTGTCACTTGGTTATTTAAATTTGTAATATAAGTTGGATTCCTGGTAACCGCGGCGCTTATGTTCTTGTTTGGTACTTCTTTTAAACCCGACAGAAGTTTTAGGTTAAAAAAATACATTATTAAACTTCTTGACAACCTTTTTTTCAAATCAATGCAACTCTTATGATAATACATTGTTAAGATGAAAAGACAAATATTTTTAAAAGAATTATAATTTTAGAAGAGGCTTAACATATTTTATTTAATGGTGAAGATCACAAAGAAACAGGCAAACATGAATCAAATAATGTAGACGAACTTAGTCATTTTTTATTGTACAAATAGCATTTTTGTGCATCTCTTTTTGATGTCGTTTCGATGGCATATAACTGTATCTTTTGTTGTTTGTAGTACTGTTGAGTAGTAACATGCAAGTCTTCTAATTTCTACTGCATCCAATGTTTTTTTTTAACGCGGTTCCAGCACTGATCACCCACCTCGTTATTTTGTTTCTAACATCAGATTGTGTAGTTGAAATTTTATGTACAAACCCATTTTCTAAACATGCTTCTATGCGTATAGGCCAAAATTTTGAATGATTTTGCATTTTTCAAGATGAACCATTTTTAAAAGCATGGAATTAATTTTTGTTTGTAAAAAAAAAATTACAAAGTAAAACCAACATGTGTAAATACTTTAAATATCAGTATAAATTTTCAGTGTTCATAATGTCTACTACTATTATATTTTTTTCTAAAACATGTTATGTAATTATTGTTATTGATTTTATTTTATTTTCAAGTAAAATTGTTCTAAACAAATTTTACTCTTAAACAATTTATAACAATGAGAGTATATATTTATGGCTAGTCTCTCATATAAACATCATTTTTGCGGAGCTATTCTAAAGTAAATAAGATTTCAAATGTTATACTAAAAGAAAGATAATGCCAAGTTTGTGACTCCTTTTTTTTTTTAAGAACGGAGCGAATGAAGAAACTCATTTCCAAGCCTAATTTACCCAATATGTGAAGAAAAGGAAAAGGCTCAGGTAACTGGCCACTTTTAGTTCCTGTCATTATTTTGGATCCGGAACCTGAGAAAGCTGTAAACTTGACATATCACCAACAACTCTTTTGTTTTTTGGTTTTTTTTTTTGTTGTGGCTCTTACATTCATTTAGCACTTTATCTAAGTGTTTCACACTGTCGGTTTATCACCCTCTACAAAAGATTTAATCCACAGTTTTACAAATTTATATGCATATTGTTCAAATAGATGTAAGCAGGAGAGCTGAGACTGGTCAGTTGAAAGCAGGAGAGCAGCTGGGGCATGTTCACGGGTCACAGACTTCATATCTGCGTTTTTTTAACATGTAAATTAGGTTGTTACAGATCTTGAATCCTGGAGAAAATATATTATAGAATTACAATTACCTTCTCTTCATCGCTCTTAGTCAGAAAAACCATAACCCTCGGGACTCTCATAACCAGCACGATAACCATAATCCACAGAGGCGCTTGAATTGTCCGTCTCATCACCGGAAGTTTCTTGTGGTAAGTCAATGATTCGAAGATGCAGGACAACGGCACCACAATTTTCATAAGGCCTGTACACTCTTTTCTCGTACCTAGAACTTTCACTCAAAGAGAGCGTGTACCTCCTATAGTACAAGGGATCTTTCTCCTTAGTGGTCAGCAACTTTACGCTCTCCCATGCGTGTTGATCCGATGCAGCAGTGGTTGGTTCACAGAGAAAGAGCCCCGTTGCATATGGAGCAGGACACACGAATGATAATGAACTATGATTTCGGAGGGTCTCATGAGATAGTGTACGATGATTTCGGAGGATCTCATGGACATCAGCAGATACTAGCCATTCCGTCTTAGATCTCTCCAGAACGTCCGCGTACTCTGGTCAAAAAAAATCAAGCAAATTTGGTCATATTCAAACACGCAAAGTCTTCAATATAGTCTGGAAATTCAAACAAGTAAATTCAAGAAGTAGAAAATGACCTGGAAAATCNATTTTAGGTGTATCTGCGACCTGAAACAAAGTAAACAAAGCAAACGCTTTCATTGCACACAATCACATAACCTAATCAAAAATTTCAAGCAATTCAAGCCTAAACCTACTCGCAAACCGAGCAGTGAGAGAAACAAAGATGACTAAAGTTAAGACGATCCTCTACAAGATCCAAGAACAATCAGATCTTGAATTCTAAGAATATACCAAATCCTGGAGAAAACATATTATAGAATTACAATTACCTTCTCTTCATCGCTCGTGGTAGCAAGGGGAGGACAAGGATCACTGTCCATAGCGTCGTTTGGTCTGCTTCCATACTATATAAAAAAGAAGAACATTTTCTTTCTAGTCATTAATCAGAACTGAAACTGGTCATGTAAGGAAATGGAGATTGGCTCAAATCAAAGCTGTTTTACCTTTGATGGATCAAGTCCTGAACACTCGGCTAACTTTCCATTCTCTGTTTTTAGGCCATCATCATTAGCGTTTGCACCAAATTCAGGAAAACCAAAATCCTCGGAACTCTCATAACCAGCACGATAACCATAATCCACAGAGGCGCTTGAATTGTCCGTCTCATCACCGGAAGTTTCTTGTGGTAAGTCAATGATTCGAAGATGCAGGACAACGGCACCACAATTTTCATAAGGCCTGTACACTCTTTTCTCGTACCTAGAACTTTCACTCAAAGAGAGCGTGTACCTCCTATAGTACAAGGGATCTTTCTCCTTAGTGGTCAGCAACTTTACGCTCTCCCATGCGTGTTGATCCGATGCAGCAGTGGTTGGTTCACAGAGAAAGAGCCCCGTTGCATATGGAGCAGGACACACGAATGATAATGAACTATGATTTCGGAGGCTCTCATGAAATAGTGTACGATGATTTCGGAGGATCTCATGGACATCAGCAGATACTAGCCATTCCGTCTTAGATCTCTCCAGAACGTCCGCGTACTCTGGTCAAAAAAAATCAAGCAAATTTGGTCATATTCAAACACGCAAAGTCTTCAATATAGTCTGGAAATTCAAACAAGTAAATTCAAGAAGTAGAAAATGACCTGGAAAATC